ATTGAATAGCCCCATTTCCACCATCAGGACAATAATTAAGAAGTTCCAATCAATTAAAGATGTAACAAATCTGCCTAGAAGAGGACGTGTATCGTCCCAATGCACAGCAAGAGATTTTGAGTAGCCAAAGACTCTCCAAGGATCACAGCTGGAGAATTGCAGATATTAGTTGAGTCTTGGGGTCAGAAAGCCTACACTCAAATGTTCACGCAAAGAAAGAAGGTGTACCTTTTATTCTCACTGTGTTGTTTGGCGTATTTATGTGAATTTGGCGTATAAGTTGTATGGCACAACTGAGAACTACATGGCATTAATTATGCATATGCAAAATGTATCCATTTAAAAACAATTGCTTATGAAGTAATATCCATTGGCCTTGGTGCGATAAACCAAAAATAAACAAATAAATAAATAACGTTAAACAAAAGGCGCAGCTTGCACAATCTCATTCCGAGCGTGTTTTTTGGGGGGGTCAACCAGCATACAAAATGTGTGACGAAAGCGCCTCCTTGATCGTCTTGTTAAGGTGACGCAGAAGTGCGTTCCAAAAAAATAGTTTTTTTGACTCCTACACCCTTCATCCCTTCGAAGCTCTCACTCCGGAGGGTAAACCCTTTGAAGGGATTAGGGCATATAGGGATTAGCCCTTCTGAATGGAATGCAGGGTCTGTCACATATAACAGCGAATTCGCATCGTGTTTCAGGGAGTTGAGCCTGGTCAGTACCTGGATGGGAGACCTCCTGGGAAAACTAGGTTGCTGCTGGAAGAGGTGTTAGTGAGACCAGCAGGGGGTGCTCAGCCTGTGGTCTGTGTGGGTCCTAATGCCCCAGAATAGTGACGGGGATACTATACTGTAAAAATCACCGTCCTTCGGGTGAGACGTTAAACCCAGGTCCTGACTCTCTGTGGTCATTAAAAATACCATGGCACTTCTCGTAAAGAGTAGGGGTGTATCCCCGGTGTCCTGGCCAAATTCCCTCCACTGGCCCTTGTCAATCATGGTCACCTAATAATCTGCATCCAATGAATTGGCTCTATCTCTCTCTCCTCTCCACCTATAGCTGGTGTGTGGTGAGCGCACTGGCGCCGTTGTACTGTGGCTGCCGTCGCATCATCCAGGTGGATGCTGCACACTGGTGGTGGTTGAGGAGAGATCCCATGACATGATTGTAAAGCGCTTTGGTTGTACAGCAATACACAATAAAGCGCTATATAAAATGCCTCATTCATTAATCCATTCAGCCCTGGTCGCACATTTGTTTGACTGGAGGTGAAACTTCCGTGGTGGCACTGGCGTGTCGTTCGCTTTGAGTGTAGATCTGGTGAATAGCGTTAAAAGAGCTTATTTTTCAGGCTAGATCAGCCAATGCGCATGCGCAATCCTAAGCGTGCATCTCAGAACGCTTACTGTTTCGATAGCAACTGGGACTTCTAACGGCAGCTGCAGTAACGCAATGACTTTACCAATTCGCGATTGGCTCTTTTACTCAGAAAGCAGGACTTCCTTCGATAGAGTGGCTATAGACCATTTTAACCATAGATATGTATACGTACATGCCTCATTAGCAACTGTTTCTATGGGCTGTTATATGTAAGCCATCTGCCATATTCGAAGGGTCAACTTGACGTCATTCACCATTACAGCTGATGGTCTGTGAACCCTCGTGTTCGGTGGCCGAGAGAGCTCAACGTGTTGTTGTGTAGACCTAACTAATAAGTTATCAATATTTCAAAACTTGTAATATTGAGTTAATACATTTAAAAACACAAACCAATACATTTTCACCTGTGAAATGTTATCCCGTTTCTTCGGGAATTTAAATCCCAGCAGTTTTTACAACCATCAGCTGTGCAGGATTGTGGCATCTTCGAATATTCATTGATTATTATGGTGAATGACATCAAGTTGACTGTTAAAGATGGCGGACGCGTCTATGTGCTTGGCGCAGTCAAATGGGGCATCTACCTATAGCCATACATATCTATGATTTCAATAGTAGCATTCCAATGCATTTGTTATTGCTTACGTCCTTGAAATAGTATATATTGAGCATTGCATTTTCCCCCATTCAAAACTATTCGAGTGACACGTCTTGGGTATTCTGTAGTCTTTGGTTACACTGACCCAGCACTGGGTAGGTGTGTGAGGGGGTTCATCATTTGACAGTTAAAATGACCCAGCATCTGAGTTACATAAAAACTACCCAGCACCTGGGTAAAAAATATTATTAAAAATCACCCAATAAGCTGAACCCAGCATTTGGGTAAAAAAGTTTGAGTGCAGAAAACTGTAAAAAAATGTACAATTGCAGAAAAATGTAAAAAAAATAATAATAAAATAACCCAACAGGCTAAAACCAGAATTTGGGTTAAAAAAAAAATTTACGGCATTTTTTTAGAGTGTAAAAAAAACAACAGCCCTTACATCACCACATGTTGTTCAGGAGGATTTCAAGAAAAATCCTCCTTGCTCATCCAAAAACAAACTCCAGCATATTCAGCTGTCAGACACGACTGGAACTTCAAATGGGACTGGCTTCTATGGTCAGATGGAACTAAAAAAAGAGAGCTTTTTGGCAGCAAACCCACCAGATCAAAATCGCCAGTGGTATTATGTACCTATTAGGTCGTCTCCTGTAGGTCAACTACAATAAGCTCATAACGCTCTCTCATGACGTCAAGATGCCTTTATATTACACGCCTGTTGCGCGTCCACGGAGCAAAGCTCGCGCACTCAGCTGAAATACTGAACGACGGGTTCACAGCTGGGACTGAGAAGGGAACATTTTGCCTCTAGAATGCAACAATGTGCAGACAAATGAAGTAGCACATGAACGGACACCAAACGGTCAACATTAATTTGCAGCGACACGCGCACTACGACCTCGTGAAAAACTGATACTAGTTCAAAAACTCTGATGGATACTGCGGAAATTAATTAATGAGCAGAACCGTCTGATTGCTACCTAGATCGGCTTGTGTGTCTCTTTTGAGCGTCAAGCGAAGCGCACTTGTCAACAGTCCAAAGTGCTCTGAAAGGTGAAGAGCGCTGTCAATGAGAATCATCATCATCATCATCTGTACCGAATCATGATGCTGATGCGCCGGGCTGCGCTGGGGTGTTCACTAAAGGAGACTAACGGATAAATTAGAGGCTCTTACCTCAAGAAATCAAGCACGGACTCAAAATAACTTTTCTAACTATTCCTAATGATGTTTTCCGAGCAGGCTGATTTAAATTACAGCTTTAACATGAGCGAGGAAGATCGGTTCCCAGTCAACACGTGAGATCATGCGATGATCACAGTGACATCACACGATCCTCATACTGTGATCCTCACGGTGTGAGTAGTATATGAGCTCATTGTGAGTTCAATCGATCCTCATACTGTGATCCTCACAGTTTGAGTAGTATATGAGCTCATTATGAACTCAAACGATCCTCATACTGCGATCCTCACAGTGTGAGTAATAGGTGAGCTCATTGTGAGTTCAAATTGCGAACATAGTATGAGCGCACAGTGAGTGTGCAGTGACCTCACATTGCGAACATAGTATGAGCGCACAGTGAGTGTGCAGTGACCTCACGTTGTGACCATAGTATGAGCACACAGTGAGTGTGCAGTGACCTCACATTGGGAGCATAGTATGAGCACACAGTGAGTGCGCTGTGTGGTTACACTTTTAGCTCACTGTGACACACACATTGTGACCACACCATGAGAATCATGTGAGCTCATGGTGACATCATTGTGAGATCGAATTGTTGACTGGGTTACCTCTTCTGGATGAGGACTGGAGCGACTCGCCAGTGGAGACGCTCTCACGCACGGGCTTCATCGCCCTGTCAGTGTTCCTGGGATTCATCATGACTTTCGGCTTTTTCAATAACTTTATCGTATTAGTCCTCTTCTGTAAGTTTAAGACGCTCAGGACGCCAGTTAACGTGCTGCTTCTTAACATTAGCGTCAGTGACATGCTGGTGTGTATGTTCGGGACGACCCTGAGCTTCGCATCCAGTGTGCGGGAACGGTGGCTGCTCGGACGGCACGGCTGCATGTGGTACGGCTTCATCAACTCTTGCTTCAGTACGTACTCATACGACATTATTAACCAGCTCCGTTTCGGAAGTTTACTTTTTTTTAACAAGTTGTAGGGTAAGTGGTACATTTTCAAAACTCTTAGTAGCTTATAAAACTCAAAAATATATAACATTTTCAACACATTTAAAAGCTGTAGATTTAGCTGCTTACATTAGGATGTCTGTATCGTTTTCTTTCTTAAAACTATTGTTTCAAACACAAAATTATTGTGACATGTACTGAGAACATAAGGATTTCATCACAAGAACACAACAAACGATCATCTTTCCAGTTGGCAATGTCACAATCATTTGATGATCATTTAATATCAACAGTTAATTCAAAGCAAACAATTCAAGATGTTTCAAAACACATTTACTTGTACTATATACATTTGGCAGACATTTTTATACAGGGTATACAATTTTTCAGTTCTGGGAATCAAACCAATGATCACTGTTAGACATTTCAAAGGGTTGTAATTAAGATTTAGAGTACCATAACTGTATTTCAGTTTTGCAGTAACTTTGTGGTACTGTAATCGTGTAATACATCAGTATACTACTGTAATTCATTAATTTGAATATAGATTTCAGTAGATTTTATCATTTTTAATATAGAATTAATTTTATTTTTATCCTACATAGGTACTACTGACATTCAATTCAAACAGACACAATTATTACAAAATATTAAATTCTTTATTTAAAACATTGTGTATATAACACTTAGAAATACACAGTCTTCCAATGCTGGAACAGTGCATCTTCACAGTTTCTCCTGTCTTATGACTTTTTACAGTGCATTATGTTGTATCCTCTGGATTTATCCTCACAAAGAATATTCAGGCAACAGAAAAATAATGGGGAAAAATATAATCAGTCAAAGAATAGATATAAGGCATTTTCAAATCCCAGGTGCTGCTCCAAAATGTAGGCCACCTTTGCTCACCAACCACTTTGTTACAAAGAGAAATATGTTCCCTGAAAAACAAGAAGAAATTACACATTTTTAGAAGGAAAACCCCATATGGAATACACAAACCTCTCAAAATCATAGTGAAGTTCTTCTCTTACCATGAATTATCAGTCTCAGCGTGGCTGGCCTGCTCATGTCTTTCTTGATGCTTCATTGCCTTTAAAACACACAAACAATGCAGTAAATCTTAAATTCTATTAAACTAACAAACTAATGCTAAAACTGAAAGGCGGCCGTAAAACTTTTGTTTAACCTAGCTAACATACGATTTTATTTTCTCAATAGGCTGGCCAACGTTAACACCTGAACAAAATTTCACTTTAGTTAACTTAATGTTAATATAAGATAAGCATTGCTCGTTAAAATAATTTTAATTTGGTAATTCAATAAGCTGACAAAATCATTTGATAATTGAAACGACAGTGCAGTTTACGGTGTTAAAGTTTCTGTTACCACCATGTTTACGAGTAAATGTTACTAGGTTAAACTGGTGTGCAAAAAAACTGACAAAAAAATCCATACAGGCATACATAAATATATTTAGGACCTTGTTTGCTGGTCTTTCTGATGTCTTTCTTATAGAACCAATTATAATCAGTGATACTATCTACAATGGATGCCGGACAGTAAACTGATGCCCCGGTATATTTCTGACATACAGTAGTATAATTTGTCAATCGTTACAAGCGATTTAACACGTCCAGTGTAGACAGACAGTCTCGAGCTGTTGTGGCATTGTAGACACGGTGTAAGGCAAACCCTGCCAATCCAAATGTAAGAAATGAGGAAAATACAAAACGTCAATGGAATGGCGCCAAAGAGGCTGTTACGGCAAATACAGTAGTATACAGCAATTTAAAAAAACAAAAAACAAGTCTCTGTATGTGATGTTTGACTTCACAGTAAATTCCCATGATGCAAAGGGAATTACAGTTATTTACTGTGAAGGGAATTTGCAGTATTATACTGGGTGATATACAGTAAATAGAAATTACAGAAATGTCTAACAGTGATGCTAATGGCATGCTCTACTGTGTGTGTGTGTGTGTGTGTGTGTGAATAACATTTTAATAATTTGAAAAACCCTTTTCCACTGTAAAGAAACTTTTGTGCAATGGAAATGTTCCATGAATGTTAAATGTTCATCATGGCACCATAGATGCCAATAAAGAACCTTTATTTTTAAGTGTGTACATGACAAAATCACCCTTGTTACAGTCTACACTTACATGTTGAAACTGACATTAAATCTATAATGTCTGTATTATCTATCAAATTTTGTCAACCGAAAGTCTTATACCTCAAGATGTTGGGATGATGTGATATACCCAATTTGATGGATATGAAAGAATCTAAAACCTCCAAACATCACCTCATCTCTTAAAAATATCTAGAAACTGGGATGCACCATTAGAGTTGCTTTACCAATAAAAATGTTGAGTTGATTGTATATAAAAATAAAGTAACCATTAAGTTATCAGCTTTTTCCCCCATGATTTGTACTCAAATTGGGAGTACAGTGGTACAGCTGATGAGTGTGGTTGCAAAGTACTTTAAGTAATTTTGTCCTTCAGATTATTTTCTATTCTGCATTCCTAGCATCATCAAGGTCATGAGTCTAATTATAAGGATGCATGCATAGAATGCATGAACTGATAAAATCTGTAGTTTGAATGCAATGTAAGTTTCTTTGGATAAAAATCTCTCCCAAATGTAATTGAATCTATTTGCATTTCATCACAGTCTTTATTGGAAATGTATGGGGGATTAACAGTCAGGAAGGATGTTAGCTCCATCATAAAAGGGAAGCCTAAAGGGGAAATCTTGGCAGCTAAAAAAAATATTTTGTAATATATAAATGTACAGTGTCATTTCTTGGTAACCTTTTAACTTGCATTATTGCATGCTATTTATAGCAGCAAAGCTCATAATGTTGTTAGAGCAAAAGACAAGCTGTGTGAGGCTTACCGGTACTACGGTAGTATCGCGATAGGCTACAAAGGCTCCAAAATACTGGCAATGCCACTGTATTTTTTAAACGGTAGTATTATCATTACGGTTCTACCTTAAGTAATGTTGTATGTGGGACAGTCGCTAAAATGTTTGAACACTTGCAAATAAACAATACAAAAGCGTCTTTTTTGTCCTGTCGCCTTTCTGCGGTGCCTTTAAGGGCGCAGAATGCTGTGTAGAATTTGCGCCTTACACCGGTTTCACACTAGATGCGCAAGCAGAGCGGAGGCAGCGCAGAAGCTGTGCGTATGCAGAGCGGGAGCAGCACGTGCCCATTGAGCTTCCACACTGGCAGCGTTTGTCGCGCGCAGCTGAACTCCGGCTTGTGTACTGCAAATACAGACGAATATCCTTCATTCGGTCACGTTTTTCAGGTGTTCTCCGACAACTGTCTCTCATGTGCTTTGATTTATGATATGGGCAGCATACTCTGCTGTGATGCGGTCCCTCTGTCCCACACACACATGCATATAACATGCTGTATAGTGTAGTTTGCATGATAAAACTAATCTTAAAGGGATAGTTCACCCAAAAATGAAAATTACCCCATGATTTACTCACCCTCAAGCCATCCTAGGTGTATATGACATTCTTCTTTCAGATGAATACAATCGGAGTTATATTAAATAATTTCCAGGCTCATCCATGCCTTATAATGGGAGTGGATGGTAGATCAAAATTTGAAGTCCAAAAAATGGCACCCATCCATTATAAAAGAAGTTCACATGGCTCCGGGGGGTTAATAAAGTCCTTCTGAAGTGACGCGATGCATTTGTGTAAGAAAAATATCCATATTTACAACTTAAAGGGATAGTTCACCCAAAAATGAAAATTACCCCATGATTTACTCACCCTCAAGCCATCCTAGGTGTATATGACATTCTTCTTTCAGATGAATACAATCGGAGTTATATTAAATAATTTCCAGGCTCATCCATGCCTTATAATGGGAGTGGATGGTAGATCAAAATTTGAAGTCCAAAAAATGGCACCCATCCATTATAAAAGAAGTTCACATGGCTCCGGGGGGTTAATAAAGACTTTCTGAAGCGAAGCCATGCATATATCCATATTTACAACTTTATAAACATTAATCTCTAGCTTCCGCTAACTGTCGTACGTGCGTTCATGAGAGAGTGGCGTCCAGCGGATGCCATCATATTCCTTTAACGTTAATATATAGGCTACATAAACTATAGTTTTATGCATTTAAACCAGCTCTTGAAATTAGGGCAAAAACTCCTGGCAGTGATGTGTTTTCGTGCATTTATTAAGCCTATTTTTTCACAGCGCTGAATGTCATATGTCAAAATTATAGATTTTTCTTTTATGCCAAAAATCATTATGATATTAAGTAAAGATCATGTTCCATTAAGTGTGTTTGTAAATTTCACACCGTAAATAGGCAGCCCAAACGACGTAACAGGCAACATGCTGTCTGCCCCGTGATAACCTCCCCTTGCTGTGGTGCGTCGAAAGACGATGATCTTGTATCGAAGATAGCCAGAGATATTGTCAAAAACATCAATGTTTGGCAATATTAAGAGGATTTGGCATTTCCAATTAATGTAGCCATGTTACATTCTTATTTTTATTAGGCCTATTATTATTATGAAGTTACTTTTATTAAATTACAATTAATATGCCCCGCAATAATTACCGCATAACTGA